TGGTCTCTGCTTGTGATATGGGCATAAGGGATACTCTTGTTTTGGAAGAGGTGTTTTCTGTCGTAGCATTTACCAGCTAGCTGCACCATCAGGGAGGGTTTATACCTGGCCCCAAGCCTGATCAGGTCTCCAAGAGTTTGGGAGCTGGAGACAGAGATCCTGCGGCCAACTTGGATGTAGGTGAGCCACTGGACTCCACTCTGGGGGAGGTATTAGGATGGACATGCCCCTTGGAAGAAACAACCAGAAAGAGACCCAGGAGACAGAGGTTATTGGTGTCCATTTGCCCCCCACGGTAACGCTTACTTCTTGCGTGTTTGCAGATTATCAAAGACCTGCAGTTGCTGGCGATGGTGGCAGCGTTGGTGCTGGCGGATGCCGTGTTGCTGTTGACATGGGTATTCTCTGATCCAGTCCAGTGCTTCCGAAGCCTCAGCGTCTCACTGCGGGTAAAGGGATGAGGAGGGGTGGTGGAGCGTTGCACCGTGTCCTGTCTGATCTCTGTGGACAAAGTTGGTGGGTGGTCAGGCTTAAACAGGTACTGTTTAAAAACATAGAAAGAAAAACAAGCCAGAAAGCCTTCTGGGTGCTCCGGGTTGGGTTTCTGTCTGGCCAATTACAGAGGCAAGGTTCCGCTCCAGAATTTCCCGGTTTGTGCAGCCAAACCTGGCAAGGGACAGCTGGTTGCAGGGCTTTGGTTTGCCAAGCAGTGGGGCCTGGTGGATGATCTTCGCCAGCCCGTGCAGGTCACCTGGGTGACACAGGAGAGGTCCGTGGCATCTGCAGATGCTTTAGAGAAAGGTTTAACCAGCCCTGTTGGCAGCAGAGTGCCAACATCTTCCTCGCTTTAACCCTCTGCCCCTGGCAGCACCAGCTTCGGCCTTTCCTTTTAGGAATTTATAGAGGAGATCTGCTCAAATGTGTAGACCTGCCTGCCCATCAGTCCGTGCCTGCTCCCGGGCAGCAGCCTTCACTTCTGCCTTCTGCTTGCCTCCTAGGCGACAGAGAAAGGCATGAGCTGCTCGGTGAGCCGGGTGCAGTCCTGTGCATCTCTTTATTCTGATCTTTGGCTCGTTCTCATTTTAGGGTTTAAGGTACGTAACCTCCTTATTCATTTTTGCATTGTATCTCGCCTCCCAGTCTCACAGCCTAACTGCCTAGCAGCATTCGTAGTTTTGCTGCCCTCCCAAGCTACGATGAGATTCCAGCTACTCCTGTTCATCTTGAAAGCCCTCCCATCTCCAGTCCTTCCTATCTTGATGTTTTCTTGCATTCCCTTGTAAAAGCTGTTATCCACTTGTCCCCTGCCTGACCATCTCTTTTACGTACACCGTGTACATACTGTCTCTCTAGTTCTCTCCCTGCAACCCCCCATGCCTCATCTATCTCCCTTCTTAAAACTTGCGTCTTACTGTTTTCTGAAGCACACTTTTTCCATAAAGCCTCAGATGACCATCCACTGCAGTGATGCACTTTGCAGCTCAGCCCGAGTCCTCTGACCCCAGAGCGGGGAGGTGCTGATGACAAGTGCTTGGTGCCTACCTCTGCAGGATGCGTATCAGCTTAATTATACCACCGAGGTACACTTTCACTGGCGTAGCTTGCACGTGGCCATTCTTATTCCAGAAGAGTTAGTTATACTGATGTAACTATGGAGGTATAATTATCACTGTAATTATCTGTGGTCTCATGTGTCTCTGGGTTGGCAGAGGCTGGACGCAGTTCAGAAAGCTGATGTTGATGAAGCTTGTGAGATCACAGCCTTGCTGCGGGAATGGCTCCATCTCTGCGTGCAGTACAGGCAGTTCCTTTCTGACTCACTGTAATACAATACTCATTGGCCATCTACCCAAAATCGTAGGAAAAAGAGCAGGAAGAGACCTCACGACACGGCCAAGTCCTTCTCCCCCCTATACTTCATTTTAAAGACATTAGTCTAGGCTGTCCTTAAAAGTCCTTTGGTGCTAGGGATTGCAGGCGTTCCCTGGGCTTTCGGTGCTGTGTCTCCACCTCTGATTTTGTCCGCAGTTTGTGTTAGGGTTTAGACAGGTAATGCTTTTGCCTACAGCCCCTACAAACTGCTTTTTGGAATAAAACATCCCCAGTACTAGTCCCAGGTACTCTTCGTTAGCGTTGCGTTGAACCTGACCCTGATCCTATCTGCCTACTGGGGGTCATGGAGTTCGTTCTTTAGTGGTTCCTCTGGAGTTTATCTGGATTTACACTAATGTGACAGTAGGCTCTATCTCTGGGCGCACTGCTTATCTTCCATGGCATTAATGTGCTCAGCCCTTTGTGAAGCCGCTCGGTGTGTTATCTTGGTTTTATTGGCACAGAGCAATGAGCAGAAAGGACTTGCCGAGGACATGCCTGGAATCAGGACCAAAGTCCCCTGCTCAAGATTAAAACAAACAAACAAACAAACAAAAAACGTAGTCCTGTGCTTACTGAAGGTCCTAGTTTACCCGATGGCAGTGCTGTTGTCTGTGTCCCAGATGGACTATAGGAATTTTAAATGGGACTTTGGTGTTGTTTTTTTTTTTTTTTTTCTTGCTCAGGGATTAGGAGTTGGCTTGCCTTTGAGCCGCGTATTTGGAGATGCCCCTTGGTGAACGTGGTTATGATCCAGTGCAGATCCTATAAAGCAGGGTTGGGCATCAGCCTAATTCCCAGTGAGGCAGGTCTCACTATTACAACCCCTCCTTGAGAATTCATGGTGCTCTGAAGTTGGGAGTCTCGCCAAAGGCCGTGGACGTGAACCTCTCTTGCCTATGAGAGTGTCATTCCAGACCTTAACTCTGGCAGTGGCCTTCATGGTCATCAAGCAGCCACAGCATGGAGGGGTCCAGAAGGGTCTACAGAACATCTGCACCACAGGTCACAAAGTACTCCTTGATGCCCAAGTAACAGTTTAATATCTCTTAGTAAAAGGTCAACAGTTGCCCTTACTGTATAGCACAGGAATAATGTAGGAGTCACATTCCTGGAATTCTGGGTCCTTGCAGGAGCAGGGATTTTGTTAGATGGTATTTCCAAATGATCCTGAAGGCAGACCATGCCCAGGCCTATGGAGGCAGGCAAAAAATACTTGGTGTTTCCTGCTGGTGTGCCCTAGGGAAGGCAGGATTCAGCCTGCTGGGTAGTTTAATACTGAGCACACTGGAAAGATGCACGCGTGGGATGCTTGAGGGGCAGCGTGAGAAGCTTGCTCCGAAACAGCCGACCTGCTCTGGGGGAGGGAGGGCCTCTGTGCACAGAGCACTTCTCTAAGCCCCTTTCGCCGCTGCTAGGGTCAGGCAGGAAACGGCGAAGGGAAGGGAGAAGAATTGCACCTGGCAGTTTCCTGGATTTCTATTTAAAGAGGCACCAAATACATCCTCTTCCCTCCAGTCTAAACCTCCACCTCTTCTGCCTTGCTTTTTCCTTCTGAATGTCCTTCTGAATCTCCTTCCCGCTCCTTCAGAGGTAGGTCGTTGCTCCTTGATGGCACCCCACCGCTGCATCCCTGCAGGGACCTCCATCTCCTGTCTGTCCGTCTTTGCTGCTCCTGTTCCAGGCTGCCCAAGGGGAGGTTTTCACATCTTGCCTCTCCCGGCCGTGCCCTGCTCCGTGGCATCGCCTGCCGACCTGACCCTCAGCTCCTCGCACCCCTTGGTCGGGACCCCCATGGCCCGCCAGTGCCTTTGCTCCTGCCCTCCCTCCCCAGCCGCGCTTCTGACCTGCAGCAGCGTGCTGGGCGTCTGCTGCGGTGTCACCAGTGCGCGCTGAAGGTCTGCGTTATAGATCAAAGAGCATTAATTAGGATTGCACTGAGTGTATCTGAGCTCACCAGGCTCGGTATGAGGTGGGGGTTGACACCATCAGGCTGTAATTTTCCACACTCTGGAAACCTCTTTTTTCTGCTTCCAGAGTATCCTCCTGCTGTATGGGACCTACTTGGCCGGTCTGACCGACAATGTCAGCTCCCCGCCAGTCAACCAGTCCTTGACGCTCATTGTCGGGGTCAACCTCGTTTTCCTGGCTGCTGGCACTGTCTGCTTAGTCCACCGTTTCTTCCGGACTTGGCACAACTTGCTGTTTGGTTTTACCTCTGGAGGCATCTTCGTGTGTACAACCACAATCAACTGCTTCATCTTTGTCCCACAGGTATGCTGCCACCTCTGTCCCGCCACCTGGCTGGAAACGGGCACATTTTCGGAGTTTAACAACAGCAGCTATGTGGGCCAAAGCACTTATTTTCCTGCTTCTTTCCCCAAATGTTCGGGCTCAGCTGCACAGCTCATCCTCCAAGCCCCAATGGCTCTGCTTCCCCAGGCAAGTCCCCTGAGTCTCCAGGGAGTGCCGGCGCGTTGCAGAGCTACTGCTCGGAAACCCTCCTGCAAGAGCGTGCTGTGGGTGGCAGCCACACAGAGGGCATGCATGGAGGCGAGGCGGCTGCCACCCTCCTCCTCCTCCTCCTCCACGTGGGTGGTGGGATCAGTCTTTCATGCCTTTGTCCTCTCCTCATACCCCACGTGCCTGCTCCCACCAAGGGTTTCTGCCCACGGCAGGGATGGAGGTGGGCTCAGGCAATCCAGATGGCCTTGCCAGGCTCAGAGGCTTCGTGGCTGCCGGCGGTCCCCAGGGGAGGCTGTCCTCCTCTGCGCTCTCGGAGGAGGAAGCTGGGCTTTGTTGCAAGCGAGGGGGAGGACGCGGAGATGGTTTGAGGAAGCCTTTTGTGGCAAGGCGAGGCTCTTCTGCTTGGTGTGTCCTCCAGGAGCAGCCTGGTCAGGACGTTAGTGGGAAAAATGCTCCCATTGTTACAGGGAGAGGAAACAGTTGTTTACTCAGTGTGATGTTTGGAGGGATGTTTGGGCTCAAGGAAATGAGGTGAGAAAGGGAGGAAGAGGTGAAGCTGAAGAAAGAGCAGATCTGTGCAAGAGAGGTCTCGGGGGATCTCACCAATGATGTGCATAAATACCTGTGGGGGTGGAGTAGGGAGGGGGGAGCCAGGCTCTCTCAGCAGTGTCCACTGACCGGACAGGGGACAATGGGCACAAACTGAAACGCAGGAAATTCCGTTTAAACATCAGGAAAAGGTTGGGGCTTTTTTCTGTGAAAGTTGTAAAGCACTGGAGCAGGTTGCCCAGAGAGGTGGTGGAGTCTCCATGCTTGAGGATATTTAAAACCCAGCTGGACACGGTCCTGGGCAGCCTGCTCCAGGTGACCTTGCTTGAGCAGGGTGGTTGGACTAGATGATCTCCAGAGGTCCATTCCCACCTCAGTCGATGCAGAATAACTGCAGAGTCCCAACTCACTAGATGACCAGCCCATGGGAGCAGGATCCAAACCTCCTCTGACAAGCACCGAGCCTGCTGGGGATGCTCTGCCAAGCGTGAGGTCTCTTGGAGTGAGGGCAGAGGAGCTGATGAGCTGTACTTGCACTCTGCCTGTACCATTTTTTCTGCTGTAGCCTAGGGGCCTTGAACATTTTATTTAACTTGGATCTTTTAATTCATCAACTTGTTTTTCCTAATGGGCTTGCTCTTCTATTGCTCATCCGAGATCAATAAGCAGTTGGAGCTGGGCTGCACAAGGCTTCCACACAGGCACGAGACAAGAAAATGGATACTAAGCGTTGCTGTTTTTCAGCTTGTCACCAGTGATTCAGGGATAAGGAGGCATGCGTGACACTCTCTTTGTCTGTTGCAGAGTCGGGGACTGGGGAGAAGGGGGCAGGGGCTTTTACGGCACGCTTAGAGGTTGCAGCGCAGGCAGGCACCAACCGTCTCTGCATTAAAAGCTGGAGCCAGGGACAGGGTAGGGCTCAGATGGGTGGGAGGCTCCAAGCGACCCTGCAGCCCCTCGCCCAGCCGTCTCTCGCCGCCCGTCTCTGCTCCTCCGTCACACCCTGCCTTTGTCTCCCCTCTTCATCCCTTTGTCTCCTTCGCGCTGGAGCTGCGCCTGCCTCCCGCCGCGTCGGCAGGGGCTGCGCGTACCGCGCCGATAACGCCCTCTTCTACTCCCCAGCTCAAGCAGTGGAAAGCCTTTGAAGAAGAAAGCCAAACCGTGAGCCACATGGCAAAATATTTCACCAGCCCGAGCAGGAGCTGCCGCTCGGTGTACAGTGAGGAGCAGCTCTACCAGCTGATAGGGGAGAAAAACTCCATGAAGCGGCTGCTCACCGAGGTACGGGGCTCTGCCAGCCCCGCTTGGCCCTGCTGGCTTCTCCCCTTCCCTTTAGTGGGCTGAAGGCTTTGCAGGGTGGGAAGCCCTCCCTCACACCCGGGTCCTCACTGGTGCTCCCCCTCCGGCCTCTTCCCTCTGGAGGGGAAGAGCCGCTTTGTTTTGTCACATCACTCTGCACCCCAAAGCACCAAAATTCAGGCATAATCTGGAGGGTTTCAAAAAAACATGGAGGGAGAAGAGCAGGAGAGCCTGGTTTCCACAGCCCAGTCAAACATGGTTAATTTAGAGGGGAGATGCTCTGTCTTGGGAAAGCCCCCAGCCTCCTGCTCCCTCACCTGCACTGCATGGGTGGGAGCATCCCAGCTCAGAGAGCCGCCTGCCCCGGTACCCCCCTTCCCAAACCGGCATCTCGGGGGCTCTGGGGGGCTCCGGGGGAGGAAGAGGTCACACACGCTGCCCGTGTGGCTCTTGCAGGCCAAACCTGCTAAACCTGCCACTGTGCTGCCTCAGAGCACCTCTCGGTGCGGAGAGGGGCGATTCATTTTCTGGCAGTGCCTGCTTCCAAATCAGCAGCGTTTTTGTACCCTGTGCCCGCCCCACGCTTGACAGGCTTATTTGTTTGATGCAGAAAAATGCCGTGATTGAAAGCCTGCAGGAGCAAGTGAGCAGCGCCAAGGAGAAGCTGATGAGGCTGATGTCTGCGGAGAGCAGCTGCAACCCCCATGCACCTCCGGCAGCTCCCTGCACCCGGAGTGCGGGGCAGCGTGGGGATGCGCTGGGGGACCGCTGCCCCCCAGATCCGGAGCGGGATGGGTGGCAGCCTCCCCGCTTGCTGGGTACATCACCTCTTTGCAGTGATGCTCAGGACCTCCAGAAAGATGTGAGCCATGAGCCTGTTTGCTCTCGGACACTGCTTTTTGACATGGGGGACGGCCTTGAACGTGGCCTGAAAGACACCCAGGAGCACGGGATGCCTGCGGGGCAAGGGCAGCCTCCAGAGCAGCTGCCAGGCCAGGACATCTCAGCTGGCGTGGCCTGGGAGTCGTCCCCCAAAGTCAGCTACGTCAGCAGTGAGAAGCTGCGGGAAATCTTGCAGGAGCTGAGCCTGGATGGCAAAACCTACAGCTCGGCCTTACCTGGCGGGACCTCACACGGCAGCCAGGGCCCCCCAGGCGAGCAGGGAGGAGCATGGGGAGCCCAGGAGGGCTACCTGGGCATCCACACGCCCCTCAGCCCCTGCCTGGCAAGGCGGCGGCGGAGGATCCTGCTAACCCCTGCCTCCACCCGCTTCCCCGGGCACCTGTCCCCCCGTGCTGGCCGTGGGGTGAAGGAGGCGGGCAGCTGGGGCCGTGGGGAGTTGGCACATATCTCCCTGGGGAGGGAAGGGGAGATGGCTGGCGGAGGGCTCCTTCACCCACCAGCACCGTCCCCTCCAGCCATCCCTGGGGAGGGCTGCTTAGAGCCAGAGGGATGGCCGGGATGGCCGGAGTCCCAGGGTGCTTCCCTGTGCATCCCGTGGGAGCAGCGGCAGCAGGGTGCCCCGAGGGGACCCGCTGAGGCCTCCCTGCGCTCACTGTACTATTACCCGGACTCCGACTCCAGCAGCAGCAGCTCCGAGGAGATATTTCACGGCTGCCACCGGCCCTGCTGCAAGGTCTGCTTCCAGAGCCCGCGCGGCTCCCTGGCCAGCAGTAGCACGGACACGGACACAGAGCCCAGCAGGCACACGGGCCACCGGACAGAGCACCACAGCGGCCTCCAGCCCGTAGTGAATTTCAAAGAAGATCTGAAGCCCACCTTTGTGTGACTGGGAGCACCCCTGCACCAAAGGCACGTGCCCTTCCGCCCCCAAAACGCTGGGTGTTTTCAGTGATGCTAAAGCCACACGTTCCTCCGAGGGATGCGTCTTGCTCTGGCATCTGGGGGTCGGGAATAAGTCTTGCCCTGCTTTGGGTTGCCCTTTCAGCCCCAGCCTGGTCAGTGGTGACTGCAGACCATGTTTGCCTGAGAGGTGGTTGGCAGGACTCGGGGAGGTGGCGGTGGTTTTGTCCCAGCTGCTCTGGGCAGCTGCCTGGACCCCGCAGATAGCTGGCACCTCTGTCCATCTTGCTGACAGCAGTGGAAAGACTGGGGCAGAGTGGCCTGCAAGAGCCCAAAATTAATCAGAGGGCTCCTTCCCCGAGGCTGCCGATGCTGAGCCTCCCACCAGCATCGCACCCAGCTGGAGATGGGAGAGAGTCGGACGCCAGGAGCACTTGCAGGCTGCCGCTCACCTGGGGATGCTGCTCCCCCAGCAAAGCAAGGACCTCGGAGTGGGATGCGCGCAGGAGACTTTTGGGGCAGGTTTTTTTTTTTTGGTAGTGTCTGAGTGAGAAAATGGAGTCCAAAGGTGACATCCCTGGAGGTGTCCTTGCATTTTGTGTAGTTCAGTTTCATGGTCATAGGTGAGACTCGGGTCAGAGCCGAAGGGAAAGACAAGCTAGCAATCGCAAAAGAGGATCTGAAAAGGTTTTTCTTTTCTTTTTTTGCCTTGTTTTTTCTGGGGCTTGTGCCCTTCTGCATGCCTTTGTATGGATGACGTAGTCTGAAATGAGGTTTGTTTAAATTAATGTGGTCTGTTTAATTTTTATCTTAGAAATATCAAGAACAGTAAAGCTGGCGTGCCTGCTTTTTCATGAAGGCGTTTCAGCGTGTCGTTGCCTCCACAGGAGGAGTCAGGGGTGCTGAGACCTGGCACCCGGTGCATTGAACAACCCTCTGGAGAAAGGCTTCGTTAAAAGGGCAGGTGACAGAGGAATCCCACACCCGGTTTTGAACGATGTACGTTAGCACTGCCCGCTCCGTTATGGTGAAATCCCGCACTGCTGTGTCCCTTCACCAGCGTCACCTTTTTTTTTCCCCATTGCCGCCACTGTTTTCCAAGCTTGCTGAATTTCTAGGGCAAATCACCAAAGCCGATAATCTTATGGGGAACAATATTCCCATAGCCCCTCTTCGCCCCTAAAATGGAAACACCCCAGAGGGCGATCCCAATTATTTTTTTTTGTTACCTTTAGCTAACAGAAACCAGTTTTCTTCAGTTTTTCTTTTACAGCTGAGCACGTCACAGCTCTGGCCTGGGTGAAATGCATTGACTGGGTGTCTTCTACTGCTGCGGGGCAAATCCGCAGTGGGGGCTGGAGGCAGAGAAGCCCAGACAGGGTGCAAATGTGGAAAGTCTCCTGAGGTCGCAGCGGAGGGGAAGGCTGCCAGCGCAGCCCTTGCTGGCGTGGAGGGATGCTGAAGAAGCAGGAGGTGGGTAGGGGCGGCGCAGGGGGAGGTCAGCACAGGGATGCGGCAGCGTGCCCCTCCGCATGACTTTCTTGGGCATCCCCAAAAAGCGGTTTTTATAATCTGAATCCATCCTGTGCCAGACTGAAGCAGCACCCTACGGCCTGGCCCCAGGGGAGCGGGAGCACCCTGCGAGCACGCAGCGGCCGGTGATTTATTTATAGCCATCATTCATTCAACGGGCCGGAGCGTGTCGGCGGAGCGGGGGTGCCAGCGGGGAGACCCCACGGGGTAGGGGGTCCTGCAGGGGGGACTCGGGTGGGTCTTTCCCCACCGCCTTCCCTCCCCGGGGCTGGGGAGAAGGCGCCTGCAGTTTTGCAGAGCTCGCAGCAGGGGCTGCTGCTGCCACATCGGGTGCGCACCAAACCTCGAGTGCCCCGGGCAGCGCGTCCCACGGCATCCCCACGCTGGGACAACGGGTGGGACGGGGGGGTGGCTGGGACACCCTGTTAAATATGGGGCAAAGCCACTTTTCCAAATCGGGGCTGGTTTCTCCCCAGCATGTTTAGAGTAGCACTTTGGGGCTAGGAAATATTGCAGCACGGGCATAGGAAACAATCAACCATGAAGCCACCTGGAAGCAGCTGATATAAAAATTAACTTAAAATCCACTAGTGAATGCAGAAAAACCCTCCAGAGGACTTTGAACCTATGGTTTGTTTGGAAACTCGTCGTTGGAATTGGGGGCAATTGCTTTTCTGTCCGTTGGCCAGCAGCCACGAACTGAAAACTGCACATCATGTGGATGCACCTATTAAGGTGGCCAACAGCATCCTGGCTTGTATCAGGAATAGTGTGGCCAGCAGGACCAGGGCAGGGATCATCCCCCTGTACTCAGCACTGGTGAGGCCGCGCCTCGAGTACTGTGTTCAGTTTGGGCCCCTCACTCCAAGAAGGGCATGGATGTGCTGCAGATCTCCAGAGTAGGGCAATGAAGCTGGTGAAGGGTCTGGAGCACAAGTCTGATGAGGAGCGGCTGAGGGAGCTGGGGGTGCTCAGCCTGGAGAAGAGGAGGCTGAGGGGAGACCTTATTGCTCTCCGCAACTGCCTGAAAGGAGGCTGTAGCCAGGTGGGGGTCGGTCTCTTCTCCCAAGTAACAAGCGATAGGACAAGAGGAAACGACCTCAAGTTGCACCAGGGGAAGTTTAGGTTGGATATTAGGAAAAACTTCTTCACTGAAAGGGCTGTCAGGCACTGGCACAGGCTGCCCAGGGACGTGGTTGAGTCCCCATCCCTGGAGGTATTTAAAAGATGGGTGGATGTGGTGCTTAGGGACATGGTTTAGTGGTGGGCTGGGCAGTGCTGGGTTAACGGTTGGACTCGATGATCTTAAGGGTCTTTTCCAACCTGAATGATTCTATGATTCTGTGAAAGTTTCATCTTACAGAAATTGAAATGAAAGGTAAGTGACTGGAAGAAGGTCCCCTGCCTGCTCCCAGGTGAGGTACTCAGGGCACTTCAAGACATGCGAGAGACTCCTGTGACCCAGGAGCAACAGAGCAGCCCTTGGCAATCCTGTACACCTTATCCCAGCACCCTGTCCCCATCCAGGCACTATTTGCCAGCAGAGAGGTTGCCTCTTCCAATGACACACGGGGCAGCCACAGCAGTTAATGCTGATGAGGTCCTTTGAATGTTTTTAGCTTCCTGAACCACGTTTCCAAGCCTTCCTTCCCCTGCTGTCAGTGCACCTCTGCAGGCTCCAGCTCCGTGACTCCTGCTGCTGTCTGCAAACCATAGGAAGAGATGACGAGTCCACCTCAGCCAGCATTCTTGAGCCCTGCTATACCCAGTGCGGTAGGAGATGCTCCACTGAGTGGCCTTTCCCTGCCCGCGGGCTCATTTACAGATCCTGCTCTTCTGTTCAAAAGCTCTGCAGCCTCTGCCTGCTCCCCCTGACCCCAGCGGTGCACCAGCACCTCTGTGCCCTTTCCTTGCTGATGGCTGTTTAGAAAGGGTCACGTCAGAGCTGGTGTGACATGTCTCCATATGCCTGGTTGCTGGGCCTTGGCAAGAGCCAGGAAGGCAGGGAGCCTTGAGGCTCTTGTGCCACAACCACCTGCCATCGCTCAGCCTGCCTCTGTTACCCTGTCAGCTTGCCACTGTTTAGGAAATAACAAAATTGATCTTGATTGTTATTCAGCAGCCTGGTTTAAAAAAAAAAATAAAAGGGAAAATAAAAAAGAGCTTTGTTAGCTACGGCAGAGGAGGATTAAGCCAGGCTCTCTGGGAGAAGAGTGCTGACTGTTGTTGTGGAAGTTTCCCCACTGCCTTGTGTTGGTGTTAGCAGCGGTGCTCTGCGGGGAACCTCTCACTCTGAGCTTTGGTACCAGGGGCAGTTATTAGAAATAATGACTATTTGAAAGTACTGCAAGAGGGAAAACCCAGAGATGCCCTTGGCCCAAGTAACCAGACTGTGCGACCCGTGGAGATGGTGGCTGTACAGTGGTACCACATCTGTGCAGGGACATTCTTGTGGCACAGTGGGGCGCAGCAGTCAGGGGCCCTAGGTCTCCAAGTAGCCTGTGCAGCAGGTTTTGAGGTGGTGAGGGAGCATCCACAGCTGTACATGACCTCCACAGCTCTGGAAGAAGCTCCAGAAAAGCCTTCCTCAAGTTCAACAGCCATGAGGGCTGTGAAGAAGTGCTCCCCTCCTGAGCAATGTTACTCTCCTGAGCCCAGAAACCAGGCCTGTCTCTTACCTTATCCAGTTTTTCATGTGTGCCTTCTACTCGGCCTCTACCTCTAGCTATGTACTACTGAAACTGCAGCTGCTGCTGTTACCCCAAGCTCTGCTCTTAGAGCCAGGGCAGCAGAGCTGTAGATGTCCAGCTGCAAGGCATCAAACGCATCAGTGTAAGCTGCATCCAAATTGCTGGCCTTGTGCTGCAGAAAGTGATCTCATCCTTGGGGGACTCCTAGGAGAAAGGAGAAAACACCATCAAAAGAGTTGTGGATCCTGGGCTGGCAGGAGAACTCTGGATGTTTTAGCAGTTGATGGTAATTGCAGGACCTTTCTGCTACATTCTACGATCATGCCCTGTGGAAACGATCCCTGCACGCACCTGGCTGAGCTAGTGCATGGGATACCTCCGCATGGTTCCAAGCACTGAGTTTCTTTCCCACATTAAAATGGTGTATCAAAGCTGCTGGAGTGCGTTCACCTCAGAGCGTGTACCTCTCAGTATTTACAGTGAGGTCTCTTGCTTTCATGCCCACGCCACCACCTTTCCCCTGTGTAGAGGAGCCTGAAAACCAGCTGGTTTTCTTCTAACTCAGGCATCTGTAGCTTTATGCTTTGTGCTGCCAGAGCACAATCATTTACATAAGGATTTTTATTTTTTTTTTTTTTGTCCTGGAGCTTCTTGCAGACAGGATGGGTGCGAGGGACTTTGTCCTGCCAGGCAGCTATATAAAGCACTCAGTGATTCAGCATTTACTGCGCCCTACACGGATTCCTCTGTTATCATACCAACA